AATGCTGAACAACCCCTGACACCCCAGTGAAAGGACACCCTATGATCTCTTTGGTCCACTTCCAATTTGTGGATAGTTTTCCCCTCAGCAGATATGGGAAACTTACAACTTATATAGAAAAACATATAGAGTTCCTTATGATGGGCGTGAAAAGAAGGGAATCATAAGATAGTCTGACCTAGCAACTGGACAAAAAGCAAAAGACATTACATGTCCGAACTGATGAGTGGGCTAAGGGTTGGAGGCCATTTTGACAACCAGGTAGCTCTGCAGAAATAAAACTATACCTCGCAAAATAAAACTAAACCTCACAAACCTTACAAAACTAAACGTGGAGCTCATCAGGTAGCATCAGTCTCTGACTCACTATTCTGACCCTTACCTTGTCAGGTGCCTGACACAGAAAGACCTCAGAAACCAGGGAAGAGGGAGTGTTCTAAGAGGTCTGAATATGGCTGATAATTTTGTTTGGGTAAAGATACTAATCTTCTGTTATTTCAGTGACAAGAATTTTGCACTATTCTTTTTCCATTCAGCAAGCATATAAAAGTCTAGAGAAGGAAAGACCAAAAAGCCGGCCTTTGACTAATCCCCTTCCAGCCAGGCAGCAGTGTGCAGAAGACACAGACGTATTTCAACAGAGACCCCACCATGGACACATCAAATGCCTTGAATTTGCTTTAAGGATTGTAGGGCTGTAACAAGGACTAAGCCAACCACCAGGGTCCATTCCCATCACAGGGAGCTTCTGACAGAGTTCAGGACATGCTGCTCCAGAACCTGGAAACTTGGCAAATTCAATCTTTTAAGCTGAAGAAATTTGAGAAAGGACAGAGGTACGAAGGTACTTACTGACCTTGGGCTGAAGCAGATCATAAAACCCTCCTGGAAGAGGGTTTAGCTCATACACTTTATTCTATCACATCTTTCCACCACTTTCCACCTTTCATCAAACCTAGCATACAGGGGCGCCTGGGTGGCTCAGTGGATTAAAGCCTCTGCCTTTGGCTCAGGTCATGATCCCAGGGTCCTGGGATTGAGCCCCACATTGGGATCTCTGCTCAGCAGGGAGCCTGCTTCCTTCCCCTCTCTCTCTCTGCCTGCTTCTCTGCCTATTTGTGATCTCTGTCAAATAAATAAATAAAATCTTAAAAAAAAAAAAAAAACCTAGCGTACAGACACAGGTTTGACCACTTCTTTGGGGGCTTCATTACCTTAGGAAGTTTCCCCTGTTACTTAAACCTATGTGAAATAAATGTGCATGCTTTTCTCTTGTTAATTTGTTCTTTTGTTATGGGGGCCCAGCTGAGAACTTAGAAGGGTAGAAGGAATGGATATTTTTCCTCCCCTACACTTGTAAGTGTGGTGATAAAGAGAGATAGGGAGGAGAGGTAGACTCTCCAAGTTGTGTCCTCTGCAATCTGTCTTGCACTTTACTTGGGGTAGCAAGACAGTCATTCACCTGCCTGAATTAAGACAAGTGGAAACTTTATTTTAGGAATCAGGCAGAAGGCCAGTCTTGAGAACTTGAGCACTGGGTGAAAAATCAGTCAGCTAAGAAAAATGGTTCTCCACTAGGAATGGGTATGAGATTCACCATGGAGCTCATCAAACACAGACATGCAAAGAGTCTGTTTCAGGAGACCTGGAATCTAGTCTTTCTTTCTTTCTTTTTTTTTTTTTTTTTAAGATTTTTAAATTTTTATTTCTTTGACAGAGAGAGAGAGATCACAAATAGGCAGAGAGAGGGAAGTAGGCTCCCTGCTGAGCAGAGAGCCAGATTTGGGGCTCAATCCCAAGACCCCAGATCATGACTTGAGCTGAAGGCAGAGGCTTAATCCCCTGAGCACCCAGGCGCCCTGAATTTAGACTTTCTTAAAAGTCTCTTAGGCACTTCTGATGAGAGGGGCCAGGGTTGGGAACTCCTGCCCAGGCACAGGGGTAATCTGATACTGTTTTCCTCTTCTAGTAGGCTCAGGGTGCTATCAAGTTGTGGGACTGCAGAGGGAAGTGGGGTGTGTGTGGCTGTAGAAAAGGGTGGATGAGGGCTAAGCAAAGAGACAGTTTGTTTTGTTTTTTGTTTTGTTTTGTTTTAATTAAGTAAGCTTAATTCTTCAGAACAGTTTTAGGTTTGCAGAAAAATTGGGTAGAAAGTATAGAAAATTCTCATACGTTTCTCCTTTCCCCTCTCTCCTATCCACGCACCTACAGTTTTCCTGTTGATAACTTCTTGCTTTAGTTTGGTCCTTTTCCTATAATTGATGAGCCAATATTGATTATGATTAAAGTCCACAATTTAATTAGGATCAATTCTTTGCATTATATAGTTCTAGGTCTATTTGCATTATATAGTTCCTCAGGTCTCTTATGGTTTCTGGCTGGGTCTGAAAATTGAACTGACAGAAATGAATAGGAGAAAAGCATACAAATTTGATACATTTTTACATGTTCATTCTCTTCACAAGAGAATGAAGACCTGAAGAAGTGCCAGAGTAGGAAACATTTGTACCTTTTAGACAAAGAACACGTACATTTGTGAAGAATTGACAAGATAAAGGGGTTTGGTCTATGGGCAGTAAATGGTGAAGAAGTAACTAGAAAGAAAAGAATTCGTTTAACAAGGTTTGTTTGCAGATTCCTCTGGTACCACCTCTGACTGGTAAGAGTTTGTCTCCAGGAAAAAAAATTATTTCCTGCCTAATTAGGCAAAAAAGGGACAAACTTTTCTGCATTTACTGATTCTTACTGTCTTCAGTGCAAAATAATTTTTATGTTGAAGAGCCATAGTTTGGAATGACATAGTCTGCTTTCCTTCAGCATGGACAAGGACTATTTCCTCATTTTTTTTACATTTTCTTAAACTTCTTTCATCAGTTTTGCAGTGTTCTCCATATTGATCTTGTTCATTTTCTATTAGTTTTGTATCCACATATCTCATTTCTCTTTGTTCTAATGTAATTTTTTTTTCAAATTTCAATTGTTCATTGCTGGTATCTAAGAAAGCAATTGATTTTTGTATATTAACCTTGTATCTTGTGATTTTGCTCTAGAAAGACATCACTTTTATCCTGTAGATAATTGAAGGCATTAAAAGCAAGAGTATTCCACTATTCTATTTATGCTTAGGGAGTATTAATCTGGAAGAGACAGGTAGAAGAGATTGGAAGGAAAAGAGGCTAGAGGCAGGGAGTCCCTATAGGAGGCTTTTCTGTGAGCCCTCCAGGAGACAGGGATTTACAGCACCAAAGGAAAAGTAAGAACAGGTTCACGAGGCAAATACCCTAAATTGGCCAGTCTCTTTCTTACCAAACTCCAACCTGTCCATGTACCCAATGTGCAATAAGCCAAATTCTGAGGCACTGGATTTAAAACAAAGAAAGCTTTAGAGTCAAGGAGAAAGCAGGGGATCCTTCCCAAAGCTGCCTTGCTTTGTTGTTTATATACATGAAAGGAAGGTAAGGGGTTTCTTGAAACTTGTTGGAGTGTCCTTGAAACAATCTGGAGGTAAGCCTTCTTGTGGACAATGAGGTCCTATTTGGGACCAGGGATCAGATACATCAAAACAGATGTTAATGTCTGGTCCCCCGTACCTTTCTGCAATCAGTGGATAAATACGGAGTAGGAGTAAAAAGGTAAAGTTGATGTTGGTGCATGAGGTTAAGAGGTAAGGAAAGCAGGAGCACCTAGATGGCTCAGTCAGTTGAGCCTCTGACTCTTGGTTTCAGCTCAGGTCCTGATTTCATGGGTGGTAGAACAGAGCCCTAATCAAGCTACAGTCTCCCTGGGAAGTCTACCTGGGGATTCTCTGCCTTTGCCCCTCCATCCACTTGTACTCTATCTCTCTCTCTCTTTTTCTCTCTCAAATAAAGAAATTATTCAAAGAAAAATAGAGGTACATAAAACATAGTTAAGGAAGGAACAAAACAATGTAGAGCTAAGATAATAATGCAAATAATACAACTATAGTTTTGTTTATGCTTTCAAAATGGGACCAGGAACCAAGCACCCAGCTTCGCCTTCACACAGAGGTCCTGATGGAGTTTTGGAATATAGGTAAGCTTTGGTGGGGTGAGGTCAAGAGCCGACAGCCAAGAAAGAATTCTTGAGATGTCTTCGGTGCAAAATGGTGGTTTTATTAAAGCATGGGGACAGGACGGGTGCACAGAAGGAGCTGCTGCACCAGGGTTGTGAGGGGTGACTGACTATATACCTGGGAGCTGTGGGAGGTAAGGAAAAGGAAAGTTTCCAAAGAATTTTCATATGTTAAGGAAGACTCACAGGATACTGGAGACCCTGCCCTTGTCAAGTCAAGGTTGTTGTTCCCTCTAGTAGGGTATCAACATTAAGACTGTTGGGGCCCTCCAGGAGGAACATCACACATATGCCATCCGGAAGCATGTGTGTGGGTTGAGGGAAGTTGCAGGTTGTCAGCCCATGCTCTGTCCTTAGCAAGCCTTCTGCTCCCTCATTAGCTCCCTCTTTGAGATGCCCTTACCATTCTCTTCACCTAACTTCTAAATAATCCTCAAAACTCAGTTCAGTGTTGTGGCCTTATCTCTACCAGATAGAGATAGCCCCTTAGCATCTCCTCCACCACAGCTGAAAGAGCTATTTATAGTTATTGTATACAATGTATTTGTTTATTTATCTGGTAATCTCTTTCATTGGATCATGAGCTCTTGAATCTGAATAGCCTGGTATCTGGCCCAATAAAATTGCACATAAATTAATTCATTCAAGTTTGTTGTTGGAACTCAAAACATTAACAGGTAAATGGCAATCACCATATCAAATTTACATGGTATGTTTTCTCTTAAGGAACTGAAACCACAGAGCTTCAAAACACTAAAGCTTAAGATCAGGAAGGAAGCTCTCCACCCATATCAGGAAGTCAGTACTTCCTCAAAACTTCTTTGAGGAAGTAATCACTTCTCCTTTGTTCCTTTAAGGAGCCTCCTCTTCCTGCATCTGAAGGGATACTGGCTTTAAAGAGTGAGATGGAGGGTGTGGGTCTCATCCACACTGTGCACAAGAAGGGCATCTTCTAAGCCCTAGGTTTCCCTTTCCTCTTTCCTAGGGCTCAGAACCCTTCCACGCTTGCATACCTGGCAGAGGAACAGCCGACAAAAGTCTGTGAGCCTGGGACTAACCACGGCCGCTGTCCTCAACAGGAGCCCCAGCAAGGAGACCAGGTAAGAAGAGAAGCCTGGGGGCTGGGGAGAGTAGAGCCATGACGATGGCCAGAAGTTCCAGGTCACATAGATGGAGGAGAAATATTCCAGGAGGGAGGAGGGAATAAACAAGTTTTTCTTTGCATAAGCCCAGGACAAAGAGAAGAATGGGATTTGCCAGTCGAGAAAATGTCATCTTAACTCACATTCCTCCTGCCTGGGCTTCAGGTCCTTCCTAGAATTGTGAGACTCACATCAGAAAGAAGATGGTTTAAACAACAAGAAAGGGATGAATGAAATCTTAAAAGGCATGGTTATGAATGATCATTTTGCTCTTATGACCTCTACTATTATCATCTCTTACTTTTTTCCCTTCCTACACAGAAGAGATGATGCTGGATCTTCTGGGACCGTTTCCTCTCCTCCTGTTGCTGCTGGGATCATGGGGGCCAGGGCATCCACTTGGTGCTTGGGCTCAACGCCCAACCAGGGCTCAATGGTTTGCAATTCAGCATATAAGTACAGGTTCCGTCCAATGCAACATAGCAATGCGTCGTGTCAATAATTATAATCAGCGCTGTAAGCCTCAAAACACCTTTCTGCATGACACCTTCCAGAACGTGGCTGCTACCTGTCTTTTGCCCAACAGGACGTGCAGGAATGGCCAGAATAACTGCCACCGGAGTGCAAAGATTATTGGCATGACTTACTGCAGTCACACTGGAGGATCATATCCCAACTGCCGCTACAGTACTACTCCCCAGAACCAGTTCTACACTGTTGCCTGTAACCCCCCTCAGCCGGGCGACCCTCCCTATCATCTAGTTCCTGTGCACTTAGATTAAGACTGAGATTTCCAGGGGCACTTGGGTAGCTCAGTCCTTAAGCGTCTGCCTCTGGCTCAGGTCATGGTCCCATAAATAAACATCTTAAAAAAAAAAATGCTTGATCCCAAGTTTCCAAGTTTCCCATTAGTTCCTCTTTCACTTGGTACTTGTTTTTTTATGGTCTCTTCTGCTTTTCTTTTCCTTTGTTGATTTCCATGGTTCCCATAGAAGAAAGAAGAAGGGGATTGGGAGAATTAGAGGGCCAAGATGCAAGACCAGAATTGGAACAAAAATAAACAGGATTCTTTTCTGCTTTGGAGCTCTGTGTGTTTTGAAGGAAGGGAATAGGGAAGAGGGCAAAGAAAGACCCAGGCCCCCCAATTTTTAATCTTGGAACTTCTGCCAAGCTTTGTTGCATTGTGTTCTTAGCAATAAAATCACTTTCTGTTGCATTGTAATGACCTTGATGTGTGTGTTTGGGATCCCTTTCACAGATTGTCAGCCTGGGGCCATCTTGATTGCATTCACTAGCATTCTCAGGAGAACTGTTTGGGCCCAGGTGCCTGTTGAGATTATTCAGCAACCCAAGGCTTCTGCCACTTCCCTCACCCCTGTGTCTTTTGGACTTTGGAGGAGGAAAGTTTATCATCCCTTCAAACTCTGCTCAAGGCTTTTACATATTTCCCTAGAAGCCATGGTCTATGTTTGCTTGATAGTACTTCACACACAGGTTCTAACCCTGAGAACTGATGGATCTTACATCTTTACTATTGGTTTCCCTATTTCATCAGATAATGTTTTATTTTTTAAAAGATTTACTTATTTATTTATCTGATAGAGAGACACACACAGCAAGAGAGGGAACACAAGCAGGGGGAGTGGGAGTGGGAGAAGCAGGCTTCTTGCCAAGCAGGGAACCTGATGCGGGGCTTGATCCCAGAACCCTGGGATCATGACCTGAGCTGAAGGCAGAAGCCCAATGGCTGAGCCACCCAGGTGCCCCCAGATAACGTTTTAAATATAAGTACTAGTAGGGATAATGATCCACTGTAGCCTTGGAGTCACTTCTCCCATGATCTATTGGAATGCATAGTGAGAAAGCATAGATCAAGGAAAAAAAAAGCATTGGGGAACTAAAAACATTCTTGTCTTACCTAAATACTGAAATGTTACAGAAATAATGCTGTTTTGGAACAGCTAGTGGATTTAGACACTGAAGGACAGGGAATAAGAATTTGGCTGAGGTGCATGTGGGTGTCTCAGTGGGTTAAGCTGTTAAGCCTCTGCTCTTGGCTTGTGTCTTTGCTGAGGGAGCAGAAGGCTAGTTAAGGACAAAGCATAAGCTGACACCCTGCAAACTCCCTACCTCCCCACTCCTGGGTGGTATATACGTGATATTCTTCCAGGAAGCACCCAACTGTCTTAATGTTAATGCCTTGTTAGAGGGAAAATCTTTACTTGACAATAGCACGGCCTCTGGTATCCTTTGAGTCTTCTTTAACATTTCAAAATCCTTTTTGAAATTTCCCTTTTCCTTACCTCCCCCAACTCCCAAGTATATAATCAGCCATCCCTCACAACCCTGGTGCAGCAACTTTTTCTGTGCACAGGTTCTGTCCCCATGCTTTAATAAAACCATCATTTTGCACCAAAGACATCTCAAGAATTCTTTCTTGGCCATTGGCTCTGGACCTCACCCCACCAAACCTCACCTATATTCAAAAACCCCATCATCTGGCATCCAAACTTGGGGGTTTTAATTTGCTCATCTGGACTCTGAGCTTGGGTGCAAACTTGGCAAAAACCTTCTCTTCTCTTCCTTTAGTCTCCCTTCAGGGGCTCTCTGGCTTTACTGGAACATTTTCATGTCAATTTCTCAGGCAGTAAACCTTTAGTCCCTGGCTACTCTATGAGGAGGAGAAAGCCTCTCTTTTGGCTGCAAGTTAGTACCCTGGCCGGGATGGTAATAAGACCTAGAAACGTGATGCCCTCTCTTTATTCCTGTCCTTATACAAAGTTGTCTGTGTTGGGCATGGGACAGCCACCTAAGTCACCGGGGTCGGCTGCCAATTTTAAGACTCCCATGTGAGATTTCCTCCTGATTCATCTAATGTGATTCCTTCCACATCCCTGGTCACTTCTGGCTGGGGGAACTCCACAGGGAGCTGCCCAAAACCAGCATCCAATGGAATTAAAACCCAATTGGGGACCATTTCCTAGGGTAGTTGGCTATATGGACAATGTCCTCTACTAACTACTCAAGTTACAAAATTGGGTAATTTACCCTTGTAAAACTTTTCTAGTGTTCTCCATGAATCAAATGTGGCAGGGCAATAAAGCAGCTTTGAGGCATAGGATGGCACAGTATTTTGGTTCATTCACCAGGCAAACATCTGTAGCCTGTGACATAATGGGGAAGGGAAGGGGGCCAGTATCCCTCCCCGGGGCCTTTTAGGGCAGGAATGCCTTCTTTGTAAGGCAGAATGTGATCAATAGCAATCTTTTGTTTGAGGGATGCCTCCAGTCTCTTTTGACACACAGAGCCTCTGACATATCCTGTTGTGGGACGCCACCCAGGAGTCGGGGGTGGGGGGTGGGGGTGGGATTTTGGTAATGGACCTTCTCTACTTTTTCAGGAGTGTGGACTCTGTGGGCTTCTTCACTCCCCAAAGACTCTCCTTTTATGTCTTCTTAACCCACTGAAAACAATTTGGATTGCAAAATTTAGGAAAGGACTGATCTTCTGTACACTGCATGGCTACAGTGGGATCTATCAATTAGATCTCTTCTGCAGAAAACAAGGCAAATAGACAGAGGCACCCTAGGTCTATCCAGGCTTTCAGGGCTCTAAATCAGGACCCAGACCTAAAGGCCTCTTGCAGAACCTATTTGGCTAGTAAAATCCTTCCTGAAAAATTGGATAATTATCTAAACAGGCCTCCTCCAAGTAAATCTAGGTTGCTGGAGGAAACACAGTTTTTCCCAGAGAAAGGGAATTCTTGACTCTCTTTCTCTCTCACTGTCCCTCCTAATAAATGTGGGGGCTTCTTCTTCATTCATTCATTTCCCAGATTAATGGGTATAACTGGAGCCAACTGTGGTTAGTCTACCTCCTGATGGGGATTTTAAGGAATATTCTCAATCAGCTGCTGAAACTCTGTTTGTTTTGAGGAAATTCCTAGTCTTCTATGGCCCAACATGGACTGCCTATTTCCCCCTTGGTGGGAAAACATGGCGTTTGCTCCAGTGTTGGAGCTGCTGAGCTCTAGAACTGGGAACCCTTTCTCTGCCTTCTGGCAGCACTTTGCCTCTCTGCCTCTCTGTCCCCCTCCTCCTGTTTCTGCAACATCTTGGGTACAGCCTGCATAGCTTGTTCCTATACCATCCTTGGTGCCTCCTGCACCATTGACTCCCCCTTCTCCCCTCACTATCAAGGGGTAAAGAAGAGCACACCCTAAACCTAACACCACCCACTACAGATTTCTTCACCAGTATCTCCAGTAAAAATTGACAATGGGGAGCAAGTAGACTTTTAAAAGAGGATCCAGGTGGAAAATAATTCAGTATTAAAACTAATTTATGTAAGTTTGTTGGTAGTTAAGATAGACAGGTCTTTAAAGTTATCAACATTAAGTGTGAAACTTTTATTCTATCAAGGTTTATTAAAGGTCAAATAAGCTCATGTTATCTCTGTTGTAATTTCTTATTAAAAAAATGACCTAAAATGATGGTTAATTTTGTCTGTCTCATGAAAGTTCTCATGGTAATCGTTAAGAAAGATTTCAAAGTCTTTGATAATCTGAAACTTTAAACTTTTGCTTGGACGGTCAATGGGATTAAATTCATTGGACATCTAGGTCTTTCCCAAACAGGATAAAGTGTTAAAGCATTAAGTATAAAATGTAGGTTTGTGCTTTTGACTACTTGTTGCAAAAAACCCCGACAAAACCAAACAAAAAACTAAGGATATTTGAGTCTATTGGTAAACATGCTTTGTGCTTAACTGATTCACAAATTTGCCATCTAAAAAGTTTTGGTGTAACAGTTCACAATTAGTTACTACTTAGTTTTCACTAGAGACGAAGGTTTCTAAGAGTGCAAAATTCTGCTAAATATAATTAAGACTGATGGAAATAACATGAAACAACTCTGTATGTAGCAAAGCAGGAGACATGTAAGAAAGATATAAGGAATGGGAATGTATTTCTGTCGAAGGTAAAAGAAGGTACTTCTGTCCTAAATAAAGATAGTTGTTTGAAGAGAAATGGATTGGGACAAAATCTGAATGCAAAAGAAAGTTGTAGAAGGCTTGTGAAGGAAAATCTTTGGAAAGAATGTTAGGTGTGGTCATAATAAACTAAGGTTGAAATAAAGGGATTTAAAAGTACAGTGGTATAAGATTGAAACTGTCTCTCTGTTCAAAAGATAAAGCTTTCTGCTTATTTATTTATTTATATCATTATGTTCAATTAGGCAACATACAGTACATCATTAGTTTCAGATGTAGTGTTCAACGATTCATTAGTTGTGTATAACACCCAGTGCTCATCACAACACGTGCCCTCCTTAATACCCATCACCCAGTTACCCCATCTGCTTACTGCCTTCCTTACTGTAACCCTCAGTTTGTTTCCCAGAGTCCAGAGTCTCTTCATGGTTTGTCTCCCTCTCTGATTTCTTCCCATTCAATTTTCCCTCCCTTCCCCTATGGTCCTCTGCACTATTCCTTATGTTCCACATATGAGTGAAACCATATGATAATTATTTTTCTCTGCTTGACTTATTTCACTTAACATAATCCCCTCCAGTTCCATCCATGTTGATGCAGATGGTAAGTATTCATCCTTTCTGATGGCTGAGTACTATTCCATTGCATATATGAACCACATCTTCTTTATCTATTCATCTGTTGAAGGACATCTTAGATCTTTCCACAGTTTGGCTATTGTGGATATTGCTGATAGATACATTGGGGTGCACATGCCCCTTCATTTCACTATATCTGTATCTTTGGGGTAAATACGTAGTAGTGCAATTGCTGGGTCATAGGTAGCTCTATTTTTAACATCTCGAGGAACCTC